AAAATTCTCACTGGTGATAATGTCCCTGCTCGTGATGGCCTCATGGGCCTAGGGACCGCTTTTGGACTCGTTTTAGTTGGTTCCACCTCATGCCTGGTGACTCAACTCCCTCCGACAACCCCTGTTACGTTGTTGACCGCGCTCCCTGTACACGCGCACACTCCTCAGCCTGACGTCATTGAGAAATTCTGGCGTTTAGAGGAAGTTCCCCCTCCCGTTAAGTCTACGCCAGAAGAAAGGCTGGCCGAGAAAATTTATTCTGAAACCACTGTTCAGCTTCCCGATGGTCGCTATGAAGTCAATCTGCCCTTTCGCCCTGACCCCCCTGCCCTCGGTTCCTCTCTTGATTTAGCTCGCAAACGTATGCTCTCCTTAGAAAGGCGTTTCGAGTCAAATCCGAAATTGGCGGAAAAATACCGGAAATACATGGTCGATTTTGAAAAGGATGGTTTCATGTCGCCAGTCCCCCCAAACCCCTCCCCCGAGGAGGCGCCAAAGTATTTTTTGGCTCATCACGGTGTCACCAAAACTACCAATGGAGTGACAAAATTGCGATGCGTTTTCGATGGCAGCGCCCCTAGCTCCACGGGCGTTTCATTAAATGACACCTTGTTAGCTGGCCCTGCCCTCCAGAATGACGTCCGTGACGTCTTACTGAACTTTCGCGCCCACCCTGTGGTTTTTGCCTGTGACATTAAGCAAATGTACTTGCGCATTAGCGTCACAGAAACTCATCGCCCTTATCAGTGTATTTTATGGCGTGCTCACCCGTCGGAGCCGCTGAAAGCGTATTATTTGAACACTGTCACTTTCGGAATCAATTGCTCGCCCTTTTTAGCAATTCGAACCCTGCATCAACTGGCCAGGGATCACGGACATAAGTATCCTAACGCAGCCAAAATCCTTTTAGAGTCTGTTTACGTCGATGACGTCAACGGGGGCGGACCTACCATTCGTGTCGCTAAGGAGCACCTCGAGGAGTTGATCGCTCTTCTCGCCCTGGGAGGATTCTTCTTGCGAAAATGGTCGGCCTCCCACCCCGAAATTTTAGAAAATTTGCCCGCGGACCACCTAGAATGCCCAATCATTGACGAAAATGATGAAAGCCCGCGGTTTTCGATTTTGGGCGTACAATGGGCGCCAAAATTGGACTGTTTCACCTATGTAATTAATTTAAAGCCTCACGCAGCCACCAAGCGCGGCATTCTCTCCATGCTTGCTTCAATCTATGACGTCTGCGGATGGATTGCACCCGTGACCTTCACTGCTAAATCCTTAATGCAGGAAATATGGAAATTGAAACTGTCATGGGATGAGCGAGTTCCCGATGAAATCTGGCAACTGTGGTCCAATTTCTGTAGAGAATTGCCAGCGCTGCGCAAGGTTTTGATTCCTCGCTGCTTGTATGTGAGCGCGGAATATTTTGAAGTCCATGGATTTTGCGACGCCAGTCAATTAGGATATAGTGCCCTTTTGTATCTTAGGTCTTCGCCCTCCCCGGATTCTGAAGCCCTTGTAAATCTCGTCACTGCTAAAACAAAAGTCGCACCCCTGCGTCAGGTCACTTTACCGCGTTTAGAACTTTGCGCCGCCGATTTGCTCGTTCAACTTTTTCACGCGACGTTGCCAAAACTCCAAGAAAAATTCGGCGCTGAGAATTTTTATGCGTGGTCAGACAATACAACGGTTTTGCATTGGATAAACACGGAATCTCACACCTTGAAAACTTTCATTGCTAACCGAGTTGCTCGCATTCAGGAGCTGGAGAATGTCACGTGGCGTCACGTGCGTTCGGCCGATAATCCCGCGGATGTGGCAACACGGCCCATGGTGCCCTCAGAATTGCCCTCGAATG